GATTTTTAAATACTCAGTTTATCTTGTACAAATCTGTCGTTAATACATGTTGAAATGGATGTTAACTTACACTCGCAAAACGATATATTTAGCACTTTGTCTCCTTATGTCGACTCAATAATACAGGATTCTTATACTGTAACCTGTTAAATGATAATCATCGGTTCAATTTGGCAAATACTAAGGTGACAGAACACATATTATAATTCTATATCAATTAAGAAAGTAGCCCAGGGATTTAAACTCGCTAGCTATTTTAGTCTGATATGATAAACAGTCCTACCTATACATCTCGCCATCTCGTTTATGAGTATTGTACATATATCTTCAACTGCTATTTAAAGTTTGTTTCTGCCTTGAGTATCCTATTCCTCTAAGAGTTTATCGTCGGAACATGAATACAAATAAATCCTCTCTTAAGTGATATCTGCTGTCTTTTATAATTCAGTGACAGATTTTAACAAATTTTCGTCCGTCTGTATGTCAACCATATGGTAACAGCTTAGTGGGTGAATCTTGACAATTACTGGTGCTGTCCAGTGTGGCTCCCAGACTAATTCTTGTCATAATTACCATCTGGCATAAGAACAACTTCTCATCGTAGTAACTTTATTCATTAAAGCAATTCTTAAAACTTCAGGCATGTTTTCTTTAAATACCCTAAAATCAATTGATGAGTGTATCTGTTAATAATAGAAAGGCTGGATTTTAAAGTGGTTTTAGGTGCCCAATTCTACATATGTTAAATACGTTAAAGAAATTAAAACTGAATGGCGCTCTGAAGTTTGCTTACACATTTGTAAATTAATCAAATATTAACTATTTTTACATCTCTAAACATAATTGTTTTCTGGATCTTTACCTTATTAACCTACAGGCAGTTATTGACTTGAGACTAATCTTCCCAACGTGATGATTGAGATGAATAAATATCTCAAAGGAGTAGTCCTTTTTAACACACTTTTAAAATAGAATAAGTGGTGCAAAATAACGAATAAAACTTGCAGTTTAGTGTTTCATTATTCTTGGACTCGTCAGTGATGATATGAGCCTAATGTTTGAAAAGTACATGTAGGACGCGACTTAGGGGAAATCCAAAGTCAGGAAAAACATGTCTCATACTTGATACAAAAATGTACAGGCCCCACTTGTATAAAACATCTCAACCTTTAGATTTCCTCAAGCCCAGATTTTCCTCAGCTAATATCTCCTTGAAAATATCTTGTATGAAAATTCCTCAAGGAATTTCAGGACATCTAGCCGATGCCTTCCTCCTGTTCCTTGAGAAAATTTTATACAAGCCGTTTTTGAGGAGATATCAGCTGAGGAAAATCTTGACTTGAGACTTGAGGAAATCTCAAGTTGAGATGTTTTATACAAGTGGGGCCTGGTTCCATAATTGAATAAGTTTAGTCATTCATTTCCATGTGACTGATAATTTCAGAACAACGTCAACAACATTTGTTTATTTCTGTTTAATAATGTTTACCCTCCGATGACACTAACCAAGTAGAAAGTCAATCCTTATATCATAGTTTTTTGCCAATTAAACCAAGTCTCATTTTTTTCCATTCCAAAGTTTAAAGAGACAAAAATAGCGAAAACATTTAGTTTGATGGCCTAAAAACTGACATCATGGAATAGTCTATTGTTACATTCTTTTTGATACCACAGCAACAAAACGAACATGATTTTGATATTTTACATATATCAATGTATCATTTGCTAAATATAAAATACCAACAATTATTCCATTGATAAATCGTAAATGAAATACTTAAACGTTTGACAAAGATTGGCATGATAACCATATTTCAAACAAACTTTATTTTACATAGGCATTTTAACACACACGAATCACAGTGTGTGATACGATGACCTCACGCTGAAGTGCGTTATTCATAATGTCATAATGATCACTACGCGCGTGCAAGAGCAGCTTGTCATTAACGGTGTAAAAGTAAATGGCTATATAATTTCGTTCGGCTTTAGAAAAAGCCAACACGCGCTGTAAGTAGTAACGCACCCAGTAGTGTCAAAAGTCACTCATTAACACAATATTCTATCTAACCATGATGTAAATAAAATATTGTTATTGACTAAAGAAAACTTTATTTCATTATTTTGAAAGGGTATTTCGGAGAATGTAAAAAGAAAACATCAAAATAGATTTTCTATATAGAGAAACAGGATGGTTACCTCTTTCAAAAAGAAGAGAAGCTAGGAAGCTCTCCCTCGTTTACTCTATAGTTAACAACTTGGCACCTGATTTCCTTATTGATTTATTACCTGATATTGTTGGTAACTTAGTCCCCTATAATTTAAGACGAGCCCATTTAATGAGAGATCAACAATTCCGTTTACAAATATCTCATAATTCTTTTTTTCCTTCTGCAACTAATCTTTGGAACAACCTGAACAATGACATTAGAAATTCACCCACTTTAAATTCTTTCAAGCTAAATCTTTAAAAATCTATGTATGTGGATAGTACCCTCCACAAGCAATTTATTAGTTATGGCTCCAGAAAATTAAATATCATCCACTGTCGTCTCCGAAATTGTGCAAGTCCACTCAATTATGATCTTTTTAGGGCTAATCTTGTAAATTCACCAGAGTGTCAATGTGGGCACCCGTGTGAAGATTCTTATCATCTTTTTTTTTTTAATTGTCCTTTATATGCTGATCAACGTAGAGCACTATACCAAGAATTAATATGGTTTGACGGTATTGTTAATATAAATATTCTTTGCAATGGTGACTCTAATATCTCTGTGGATGATAACCTTAAAATGGCCAAATCGGTCCAAACATTCCTAGGAAGGTCAGGAAGATTCACTCAAATTCTCTCTCCTCCCCCTCCCCCCCTTTTTTTCTCTTTCTCTCTCTCCCATTCTACATCCCTCTTTCTATCTCTCTTTCCCTATGCCACACCCTGTTCTTATCTCTCTGTCTGTTTCTTTATTTTTTGTCCACTTATACATTTTACATAAAAAAACTATTATAATAGTTTCGTGTCACCACGTGACCATATTTATGTAAATGTTTATGTGTATGTTGTAGGAGAAGTCATTTATAAGTTGGTAAAACTTACTGACTAATCCTATTGTCAATGTCATTGTCAATAAAATATGTTTAAACTAAAAAACATCAAGAAAATACCAACATCGCAACATAGTAATATTTCAAACGGGAGTTCCAGAGAATTAAGGCAAAATGTGAATAAGAAAAAAAAGATTAATACGGAGACTCCTGAAAAAGTACAATGTGAATAAGACCAGGTGTTCAGGAACAGTAAGCGTCTTCCTCTTCATCGACTACACCCGCCATGTAATCCTTGGTCAATCCAGGTAAATAATGTCATGTTCTCCAATGAGAACAAGGTATACAACAACGGAACCAAACATTTACAAGCATCGAATACGTCCAGTCTCATGTCGCACAAAGAAATAGAATATTTCTCAATGTGATCAATATGGCGACCATAAATTAAAAAAAATAGATTTTTATTTTTATTTGTTTTACATATCAATGGATGAATGCAATATGTATTACAATACAAAGCAAGACATACGTTAACTGTAGAGAGCAATATGAATATGTATGGCTGATTTCTTAAAGAAGGTATCTTTACAGTAGAGATGACAAGTAGATATAAAATATATATTATTGTCATGATAATTTATCTGATATAGTTTTCCACCTGTCACTCTGTTTACTATACCGTGTTGCATTTCCTTATATAAAATCCATATTGTCAAAATCTAATATGCAACAATACAACAAATTGATAATTTGATATCACCTTTTGTGAGAGGAGGCAGCCACTGATATCATCATCTTTTATCATTAATATGTAATAGTGCATTCACAGTCCTTTGATAGAATAAACATAAAATACTGGGCATTCGGTATTTATTGATGTATCTATTTTATCAAATTACAGCCATGAGTGCTGCATCTTCAAAATTATGTATAAAAGAGTCTAATAACGAATAAATGTCGATCATACAGCTCTTCCATCCTTTGTTATATCGTTAAAAACCTTGGAGGAGACTAAGGATAATCCACATTGGAAGTTAAGAATTATTATAACAAACGATATAGCATTCAATTTTATTTGTTACATAAACTATACTTACCAGTTTAAAAATAAACTTTCTCAACATTACTGTATAGTTCGTGATATTCGCGAGGGTTTCCTTTTCGCTGTTTTCACGGTCAGTAAAAATCGCCTGAAATTAACTGCCTGCCGAACATTTCCACAGTGAACAAAAATATCAGAAAATATTTGTTATGCCAGTGTGCATGGACACCAGTTCATAGATATCTGCGAAATTTGATATCCGTAAACTAGCCAAAATCGTGACAACCGGAAAATTAGACCCGCGATATTGTACAACTATACGGTATTTAGAAGATGTAATGTATTTTTTTTCGTTTTGTAAGAATTCCGTCTAAATACAAAGACAAAATAAAATACTTATTCCTGCCATAAGTTTCTTCAACTCTGACTTTGAGAAAGAAATATTTTAATACGAATGATTTGTAGCAGGCCTGTCAATACAAACTAAGTACTTGTGTATATCACGTAATGAGGACAAATATTCATTTTACACAATTTATACATTTGAAGTTGCACAGGCTGGATCTGTTTGCTCACACGCCCTGATTCTTCTGACACTTGCTGATACAATCATTTAAATAGTATAAATATGTCTAAGACAAGATACAATGTTTTTTACTCTGAAAAATTGATACAAGATACAAGGTTTTGTACTTTGAAAAATTTATCTAAGTCTAGATACAAGGTTTTGTACTCTGAAAAATTGATCTAAGTCAAGATACAACGTTTTGTACTCTGAAAAATTGATTCAATGAGATTCAAGAAACATATCATGTGGTTTAATCCTTCTTTTTCACATCTTTTGCAGAAAACGACTTGAAGGGATACACCTCCACAGTGAAGTGAAGATCTATTAGCAACAAAAACCAACAAGATGCGCCGATTGACTTCGTATATAAGATTTGCATCGTTATCAATGCTAGTTGCCACAACTTTACTTACGGTCACTTTCATTCATGAGCTATACAGACCGGAGGTGGAAGTTGCATCCAATGAGGTGCCTTTTGACCATGAATCACTGGCACACCGGATTCTTGGCAATGATGAGGATGATACTCATAAAGAGCATGTGATCGGACGCCAAATAAAGGCGAAGACCAAGTATTCTGTCACAGTCAACGCGCCATTTCATATTAACAACAAGAACGTTTGTCGAGGAGTAGATAAAGTTTCTGTCCTTGTGGTGGTGCATACAGCGCCAAGTCATTTCTTCATCCGCTCTGAAATGAGGCGGACGTGGCTCAACACAACATTCTACAGTCCAGAGAGTGTGAGAGTCGTTTTCTTGCTCGGGCTAGTGAAAAACTCTACTCTGCAGATGGAGCTGGAAACAGAATCAAACAAATATCATGACATCGTACAAGGCAGTTTCATAGACTCTTATCGTAATCTCACAAACAAAGGAGTGATGGGGTACCGCTGGATCACTGAGAATTGCATGAATGCAGAGATGGTCGTCAAAGTTGATGACGATGCTTTGATAAATTTCTTCAAATATTTTGAGGAAATTCGAAACAATTTAGTACCTAAAAAGAAACACATATTTTGTAATCGAATTGAGCCAAATACAATGCCGATTATCCGTAAACGCAATAGCAAGTGGTACGTTCGTGCAGACGAATATAAGTCGTTTTCTATGTACCCCCACATGTACTGCAGCGGCTTTGTCGTATTCATATCGACGGATTTGGTACCAGCCCTATTTCACGCCGCCATCGCATCACCTTTCTTTTGGGTAGATGATTTCTTCCTGTTTGGTTTACTGCCTTCCAGGGTAAAAAATGTCACCTTTGATAATTTTGGAAAAAAATTAACTTTTAGTCATCCAGAAGGCTTAAAATGTTATAAAGAAAAACATTCAAACTGTACATATATTGTAATGCCAGCCAAAAACAAAGAAATTGACGTTATGTGGAAAGCGGTGATAGAGGGTCGTACACAGAGTAGTTATGGATACTATTATATGCGTCTGGACCCCTTGAATCCCGTGGTAATGCCAAAGGCCTGATGGCTGAAATTTTGTTTCTCTGTTTGGATGTATTTATTGTTCAGAATACATTTGTGGACTTGACGCTATTCCATTGTTTCAGATATATGAATATTACGAAATTTATTTAATTATTGGGTTGCTAGATTTTTGTCACTTTGGATTTTCCTCGCTCTCCTCATCGGCTTCACAATTTAGACGCCTTAGCATCACTGACGAGGCCTTAAAGGACGGAACAACTGTACGGTGCAGTGTATTCATTGTTTTGCTCTGCTCTAACAAAATGATTATATTGATGCTCTTCTCGTGTGTGTCTAGCTATAGTTTATATTTGTTAATAATAACTTATGTTTTAAATCGCACATAAAATCGATTTTAAAGTGTCAAAAAAACACAAAATAATTCTGCAATCAACCTATTTTCAATTAATTCTGAAGTGAGTTCTACATGTCTTTATTATACTATTAATGCTATTATTTTTTTACTGGTCAGTTCACACCAGGTAGAGCTTAACAATAAAAGAAAAAATATACCATTTGATCTGCTTCAGGTTATCAGGATTCCAGATTCTTTCTATTTTTATTGAAAAAGGAACGTATCTATTTGATATTGATAACATCCACCAGGGCATTGCATTCCTTGACATCCCCTACAAACGGTCTTGTAGGCAGTTATCTTTAAACAAGATATTGCTAAGCAATTATTGGTAGAAATCCATAATGAAATTATTGATTTTAAACTAGAGTCGCCTTAATAGACTAAACATTCATAAACATTTAATAATTACATCCATGTAGAACAGATTTTGTCTGTGAAAAAAAAATGGTGACCCATAAAGTGGATACATCAAAAAGTGCGTAACAGAAATCTTGTCCAATAGACTTACAGCTGATGTTGTTTCAACTTATTAGTTGAACAATAAAAGTTCTATGGTTCAGAAATGTGTTGGAGATCATGACCGATAGACGTACAGCTGATGTTGTTTAACTCATTAGTTGAAAAAAAAGTTATATGGTTCAGAAGTGTGTTGGAGATCATAACCGATAGACGAACAGCTGATGTTGTTTAACTCATTAGTTGAACAATAAAACTTATATAGTTCAGAAATGTGTTGGAGTTCTTTTCCGATAGACGTACAGATGACATTGTTTCAATTCATTAGTTAAACCAGTATAGTTATATGATACAGAAGTGTGTTGGAGATCTTGTCCGATAGACGAACAGCTGATGTTGTATAACTCATTGGTTGAACAATAAAAGTTATATAGTTCAGAAGCGTGTTGGAGTTCTTGTGCGATAGACGTATAGCTGACATTGTTTTAACTCATTAGTTGAACTCCTATAATTACATGGTTCAGAAGTGTGATGGAGATCTTGACCTATAGACGAACAGCTGACATTGTTTAACTCATTGGTTGAACAAATAAAGTTATATAGTTCAGAAGTGTGTTGGAGTTCTTGTCCGATAGACGTACAGCTGACATTGTTTCAATTAATTAGTTAAACTCCTATAATTACATTGTTCAGAAGTGTGTTGGAGATCTTGTCCGATAGACGTACATCTGACATTGTTTCAATTCATTAGTTAAACCAGTATAGTTATATGATAGAGAAGTGTGTTGGAGATCTTGTCCGATAGACGGACAGATGACATTGTTTGAATTCATTAGTTAAACCAGTATAGTTATATGATACCGACGTGTGTTGGAGATCTTGTCCGATAGACGTACAGCTGACATTGTTTCAATTAATTAGTTAAACTCCTATAATTACATTGTTCAGAAGTGTGTTGGAGATCTTGTCCGATAGACGTACAGCTGACATTGTTTCAATTCATTAGTTAAACCAGTATAGTTATATGATAGAGAAGTGTGTTGGAGATCTTGTCCGATAGACGAACAGCTGATGTTGTATAACTCATTGGTTGAACAATAAAAGTTATATAGTTCAGAAGCGTGTTGGAGTTCTTGTGCGATAGACGTACAGCTGACATTGTTTTAACTCATTAGTTGAACTCCTATAATTACATGGTTCAGAAGTGTGATGGAGATCTTGACCTATAGACGAACAGCTGACATTGTTTAACTCATTGGTTGAACAAATAAAGTTATATAGTTCAGAAGTGTGTTGGAGTTCTTGTCCGATAGACGTACAGCTGACATTGTTTCAATTAATTAGTTAAACTCCTATAATTACATTGTTCAGAAGTGTGTTGGAGATCTTGTCCGATAGACGTACATCTGACATTGTTTCAATATTAGTTAAACCAGTATAGTTATATGATAGAGAAGTGTGTTGGAGATCTTGTCCGATAGACGGACAGATGACATTGTTTGAATTCATTAGTTAAACCAGTATAGTTATATGATACCGACGTGTGTTGGAGATCTTGTCCGATAGACGTACAGATGACATTGTTTCAATTCATTAGTTAAACCAGTATAGTTATATGATACCGACATGTGTTGGAGATCTTGTCCGATAGACGTACAGATGACATTGTTTCAATTCATTAGTTAAACCAGTATAGTTATATGATACAGAAGTGTGTTGGAGATCTTGTCCGATAGACGAACAGCTGATGTTGTATAACTCATTGGTTGAACAATAAAAGTTATATAGTTCAGAAGCGTGTTGGAGTTCTTGTGCGATAGACGTACAGCTGACATTGTTTTAACTCATTAGTTGAACTCCTATAATTACATGGTTCAGAAGTTTGATGGAGATCTTGACCTATAGACGAACAGCTGACATTGTTTAACTCATTGGTTGAACAAATAAAGTTATATAGTTCAGAAGTGTGTTGGAGTTCTTGTCCGATAGACGTACAGCTGACATTGTTTCAATTAATTAGTTAAACTCCTATAATTACATTGTTCAGAAGTGTGTTGGAGATCTTGTCCGATAGACGTACATCTGACATTGTTTCAATTCATTAGTTAAACCAGTATAGTTATATGATAGAGAAGTGTGTTGGAGATCTTGTCCGATAGACGGACAGATGACATTGTTTGAATTCATTAGTTAAACCAGTATAGTTATATGATACCGACGTGTGTTGGAGATCTTGTCCGATAGACGTACAGCTGACATTGTTTCAATTAATTAGTTAAACTCCTATAATTACATTGTTCAGAAGTGTGTTGGAGATCTTTCCGATAGACGTACAGCTGACATTGTTTCAATTCATTAGTTAAACCAGTATAGTTATATGATAGAGAAGTGTGTTGGAGATCTTGTCCGATAGACGGACAGATGACATTGTTTGAATTCATTAGTTAAACCAGTATAGTTATATGATAGAGAAGTGTGTTGGAGATCTTGACCTATAGACGAACAGCTGACATTGTTTAACTCATTGGTTGAACAAATAAAGTTATATAGTTCAGAAGTGTGTTGGAGTTCTTTTCCGATAGACGTACAGATGACATTGTTTTAACTCATTAGTTGAACTCCTATAATTACATGGTTCAGAAGTATGTTGGAGTTCTTGTCCAATAGACGTACAGCTGACATTGTTTTAACTCATTAGTTGAACTCCTATAATTACATGGTTCACAAGTATGTTGGAGTTCTTGTTCGATAGACGTACAGATGACATTGTTTCAATTCATTTGTTAAACCAGTATAGTTATATGATACCGACATGTGTTGGAGATCTTGTCCGATAGACGTACAGATGACATTGTTTCAATTCATTAGTTAAACCAGTATAGTTATATGATACAGAAGTGTGTTGGAGATCTTGTCCGATAGACGAACAGCTGATGTTGTATAACTCATTGGTTGAACAATAAAAGTTATATAGTTCAGAAGCGTGTTGGAGTTCTTGTGCGATAGACGTATAGCTGACATTGTTTTAACTCATTAGTTGAACTCCTATAATTACATGGTTCAGAAGTGTGATGGAGATCTTGTCCGATAGACGTACAGCTGACATTGTTTAACTCATTGGTTGAACAAATAAAGTTATATAGTTCAGAAGTGTGTTGGAGTTCTTGTCCGATAGACGTACAGCTGACATTGTTTCAATTAATTAGTTAAACTCCTATAATTACATTGTTCAGAAGTGTGTTGGAGATCTTGTCCGATAGACGTACATCTGACATTGTTTCAATTCATTAGTTAAACCAGTATAGTTATATGATAGAGAAGTGTGTTGGAGATCTTGTCCGATAGACGGACAGATGACATTGTTTGAATTCATTAGTTAAACCAGTATAGTTATATGATACCGACGTGTGTTGGAGATCTTGTCCGATAGACGTACAGCTGACATTGTTTCAATTAATTAGTTAAACTCCTATAATTACATTGTTCAGAAGTGTGTTGGAGATCTTGTCCGATAGACGTACAGCTGACATTGTTTCAATTCATTAGTTAAACCAGTATAGTTATATGATAGAGAAGTGTGTTGGAGATCTTGTCCGATAGACGGACAGATGACATTGTTTGAATTCATTAGTTAAACCAGTATAGTTATATGATAGAGAAGTGTGTTGGAGATCTTGACCTATAGACGAACAGCTGACATTGTTTAACTCATTGGTTGAACAAATAAAGTTATATAGTTCAGAAGTGTGTTGGAGTTCTTTTCCGATAGACGTACAGATGACATTGTTTCAACTCATTAGTTGAACTCCTATAATTACATGGTTCAGAAGTGTGTTGGAGATCTTGTCCGATAGACGTACAGCTGACATTGTTTCAATTTATTAGTTAAACCAGTATAGTTATATGATAGAGAAGTGTGTTGGAGATCTTGTCCGATAGACGGACAGATGACATTGTTTGAATTCATTAGTTAAACCAGTATAGTTATATGATACCGACGTGTGTTGGAGTTATTTTCCGATAGACGTACAGATGACATTGTTTCAACTCATTAGTTGAACTCCTATAATTACATGGTTCAGAAGTGTGTTGGAGATCTTGTCCGATAGACGTACAGCTGACATTGTTTCAGTTCATTAGTTAAACCAGTATAGTTATATGATACCGACATGTGTTGGAGATCTTGT